GGGGGTTCCTTCATCGGGTGGTCTGGCGGCCCTAAGCCCACCTCCCTGGGAGTTGCTAAGTCACTTGATGTGACAAGGGATGGGCCTGGTTCCCTGGGCCCCAGGGCCCGCCACCTTCCCTCGAGGCCATGAGCCTGGGGATTCTATAATAATAATAATAATAGTGACTAAGCACTGACTGTGCCGGGCACTGTGCCAGTGTGGGTGCCTGATGTGAGTGCAGCATAGCTTTTGGCTGGCACCCCTGTAGGAAGCTGAGGCCCAGGTCATGGGGCATCAAGGAGGGAGACAAAAGGGGCGGGCACTCAGGTCTGCTGCCTCCAATCATCATCAGGGAACAGCTGCTGCCCGAGCCCCGTCCCTGGGCCCTGGCTGGTCCTGAGGATGAGCTACCTCCCGGCCCCCACCTCTGCCCACCCTCTCATCCTTTCTGCCTCGGTTTCCCTGTCTATACCACAGGCCTTCTAAGAGCACCCTCTGTATGACGTGTCGGGGGCCTGAGGACCTGGGTCCAAATCCCAGCAACTCTGTTTATTAGCTAGGAGACCTTGGGCAGGTGGCTTGGCCTCTCTGTGGCTCACTCTTCCCATCTGTGCAATGGGGATGGTGTCTTGTAGGTACCCCATAGTGCTGTGAAGTGCTTGGTGCAGGGCCGAGCCCCGTGAGTGCTCAGTGAGGGCGGCTCTGAACGATGGTTATTCAGACTGCAAAGGACAGCTGTGCTGGGGGGTCTCGGGGAGGAGACCCTGGGGTGGGAACCCGAGGAGACCTTGGCCCAGTGTGGGCACCAGGGAGGCAAGGACATCAACTTGAGACCCAGGTGGGGGCAGGGATGTGGGGCTGGGAAGAGTGACAGAGGTGAACATGGTGGTCTGAGGGCCCAGGGGACCCCCATCAGGCTGTCAGAAGGTGGACGGCACGGGGCCGCCTCGAAGGCTCTGCAGGTCCCAGTACCCTGGGGTCTCCAACCTGATCTCCCCTCCCTGCCCCGTGGAGCCTTAACCTGGATTTTTACAAGGTCTCCCAAACTCTGGGGAGCGGCCCCCTCCCTTCCATGGCGGGTGTGGGGAGCTGGGGACCAACCCTTGGCCGTGGGCCAAGCCAACCCCCGCCCCACCGCACGGAGAGGCTGTGCCCCCGGCTGCCTGACGCTGGCAAAGCCTCGCCTTCCTGGACCCCGGCAGAGTCCATTCCCAGGAACACGACCGCTCAGAACCGCTCGCTGCATAGCCCACCCCAGCAGCGGGCATGCGTGGCAGTTGCCCAGGAAATGTGTTGCCAAATGGATGCTTGACCACCCCCCAGGGACAGGGGTGCATTCCTTTCTGGGGCGGCTGGTCCAGAGCAGGGACTCTTGGCCTCTCTCTTTCCTCTCTTAGGCTGGGGCAAACGGAACTCCCTTCCCCCTTCCCCTTTCTCCTCAGGCGAGCAGAAAAGCTCCGAGAAGACAAAGCTAGTCCCTGTGCGTGGCCGTGAGTAGCCAGGCTTTCCAGGACTGACGGCAGCCCACAGTGCCCAAGCCAACCTGCCAGCGGGTCCCTGGCCCTGACTGCTCGCTGCTCTATCCCCAGCCTCTGCAGAACACCGTACCTGAGGCCCTGCGAAGCTGCCCTTCCTCCTGGTGGGCCCTGCTCTACCCAGCTGCCCTTCCGTTATGAAATGTGCAAGGCTGGGCCAGCCCCTGGGGTGGGGCTGTCCTGGCCTTGTGCCTGACTTTGACTCTGGGCTGGCTGGAGGCTGCAGGCTGAGATTTCCCCATCACTTCCCTCAGGGGCCTCTAGATCCTTTCCTGGACCACAGAGAAGGAGCCAGGGCGCAGAGAGGGCCAGCACCAGGCCAGGGCCACACAGCAGGTCTCCAGGGAGCTCTGAGCTGAGGGGTCCATCTCGACCCCTGATGGGAAAGATGGAGGATGAGTCCAGAGTAGTGGACCCAGGAATTACGGTGTGGGGTGAGGGCTGTGGCCTGGAGTAGCAGGGGGGAAAGCCCTGCTTCCCACACCCAGCCCCCCCACCGCCAGCCCCTCTGAGCCTCAGTTTCCCATCTGCAAAATGAAGAGGTCTGATCCAAAGACAGCTGGAGTCCAGAAATCCAATCCCAGGGCCCAGGCTTCGTCCCTGCCCTCGGCGCGTCTGTGTCCAACATCACGTCATCCAGCACCCCGCTCACAGCACCTGTCACCCTGCAACCTGGCATTTTACAATGAGGAAATGGAAGTCCAGAGAGAGGGCACAGGGCATGAGTGGCAGGCTGGGACCCACATGAGAAAATTGTTGCTCCAGAGCGGGGCTGGGTCCACCCCCTGCTGTCCCCTCCTGCCTCCCCGGAAAGAGCGCCACCCTCTGCCCTCTAGGTGAGCCGTCATGATATAAGTGTCGCCATGAGGTTCCTGTGTCCCTGCCCCTCAGCCTCACCCCACCCCCACCCCGGGCACACCTGTCAGAGCCAGCACAAAGGGGGATGATCCCCTGGCAGGTGCTGGTGTCAGACAGGCAGGCGATTAGGTTACAGGTAGGGGGACAGGAATATCCTTTGTGCTATCGCCCCATGCCTGTCACCCTGGGCCCGCTGCTGCCCGTCCACCTTGGTGCCCTAGGTCTTGTCTGGGATGCTGGCCCAGGGCCTCTGGGCCGACTGGGCACCTGGGAGATGCTCCTCACTGCCCCCGCCCTCCCCGCTGCCCCTGCCTACCTGGGAGGGTAGGAGAGGTCTCCTGGCCCACACCTGCTCTGGTAGCCCCTGGAGGCTTCAGCCGTTTGGGACTGGGGTAAGGGGCTGCAGGGGCCCCGTCCTCTTCGTGGGATGGAACCCCAGCCGCTGCCTGTCACGTGGCTCAGCATGTGACAGCCCTGCCCTGCTGTCTGGAGCTGAGCCAGGCAGAGGCAGAGCCAGTGTCAGGCGGGGCTGGGCTGGAGCTGAGCCTGGCAGCGGTCAGCCAGGAACCAGGTCCAGAGAGGGGCAGCCACTGATCTAAGGCCACACAGCAAATCAGGGACCCACCTGGGGAGGTATGGTGGGTGGGAGGGGTATTGCAGGATCCTGAGGGACCCCTCCCTGACCGGGGATACCTCCTGCAGGGGTTACCCCAAACTTGTCATGAATTCAGCCTGGGAGGTCCCCAAAGAGGCCTGTCCTCCTGACACAGGGGTCCTAACCTGGCCTGGGAGTGAAGCTCGCCAGTCTGAGAGGGCACTGCCCCTTGGGGAGGAACAGGGACTGGCCCTCTCCCCTTTCTGGTTTGGATGCCTCTTTTGATCCTCAGAGCTCCAGGAGCAGAACTTCCCTGGTGGTGCAGTGGTTAAGAATCTGCCTTGCAATGCAGGGGACGAGGGTTCGATCCCCAGTCAGGGAACTAAGATCCCACACGCTGTGGGGCAACTAAGCCCACGCGCCACAACTAGAGAGAAGCCCGTGCACCACAACCAAGAACCGACGCAGCCAGATTAATTAATTTAAAAAAAAAAAAAAAAAAGCGGCTCCAAGGGCTCCGTGGTTCCTAGGGGTGACATCCTTGTCGCAGGGAGCTCGGGATAAATGGGGGACGTTGCGCGGGGTACCACTAAGAGCCACTCTTAGAACCAGCTGTGGCGGGTGGCAGGCTCTGCTGAGGTCCCGGGTCAGCCGGTGGGGCGGGTGCTGGGGGGAGCACCGAGGCTGGAGGGGACACATCTGCCCAGCCAGGCGCTGCTCTTCTGCAACTCCTCTGGGTTTTAGTTTGGAGAACGGGATGAAAAGACCCTCATGAGTGTCGTTGTTGGCCTCCCTCTCCGGGCAGAGGTGGGGGAGGACGAGCTGGTCAGGGGCTAAGGCATCATTCCTTCATTCATTCATTCATCATTCCCTCCCTCACCTGGTGAGCCTGGCTCACAGAGCCTCAGACCTGCCCAAGAGCACCTCACCACGTCACCTGCTGACAGATTCAAACCTGGCTCCGCAGCCCACCTGCTGGGTGACCTCGAGCAAGTTAGGCCCCTCTCTGGGCCTCCATTTCCTCCCCCCAAAATGGGATTGATTCGACCTGCCTCACAGGGCTGCAGTGAGGGCGAAATCAGAGCACATCTGGAATGCACCTGGTATACAGTAGGTGCTCAACAGGTGCGAAGGCTTTTCTGTACCTTTCCCCACCTTCCTAAGGGAGTGGCCACCCCAGGCCTTGTCCTGGGGCCCTGCCCCCGCTTCCTTCCCCCTCCCAGCCTTGAAGGCAGGACCACCTGGCTCCCCCCAGCAGCCACCCACAGAGGCCAGTGTGACCCTGGGGTGCAGTCAGAGGCCACTGGGGTGCAGTGCCTGGACACAGTCAGCACTCATCCACATGCTCACTTAGCAAAGCTTTACTAAGCACCTACTGTGTGCTACGCCCTGCGCCAAGCACTTGACACAAATTCTCAGATGTTATGATCTGAGCTTTACAGATGAAACAACAGGCTCAGAGAGGGACAGTGGCCGGGCTGGGGCCACACAGGAGAGGGACAGGTGGGGATTCTAACCCAGCCAGCCCCAAGTCTCCAGGGTGCCCCGAACTCTTGCTTAGGAGCTGGGGGGTGGTTACCCCCACTCCCAGGAGTCTCAGCCGAAAGCAGCATCTCTCCTGGACACTTGCTGTGCCAGGAGCTGGGCAGGGTCTTTGGCACATCCCAGCTCGGGGACCTCCCGACAGCTTGTGACAATCATCAACCCCATGGTTTTTAGTTTAAAAAATGGTAAAGATTAGGGCTTCCCTGGTGGCGCAGTGGTTAAGAATCCGCCTGCCAATGCAGGCGACACAGGTTCGAGCCCTGGTCCGGGAAGATCCCACATGCCGTGGAGCAACTAAGCCCGTGAGCCACAGCTACTGAGCCTGCACTCTAGAGCCTGCGAGCACAACTACTGAGCCCATGTGCCTAGAGCCTGTGCTCCACAACAAGAGAAGCCACCACAATGAGAAGCCCACGCACCGCAACAAAGGGTAGCCCCCGCTCGCTGCAACTAGAGAAAGCCCGCGTGCAGCAACGAAGACCCAATGCAGCCAAAAAAAAATAAACTAAATACATTTATAAAAAACACAAATGGTAAAGATTTGCCTCAATGCCAGGGAAGTGGAGTTAGATGAATCAGCAGTGGACCCTGTGTGCTACTTTGGATACAAGACAGGGTGACACTTCACAAGACCCCCGGAGCTGTCTCAGGGTGTTCGAACCGGGAGCAATATGTATCTCTCCTGTTTGTTTTTCTACAAGGAGCATCTATTATTTTTATAGTGAGAACAAAAATAGAACCTAGTATAGAGAAAACCATTAGACAACAGTGAGGGTAGATGTGACAGGGAGTGCTTGAGGTCTGGATGGGGTGGGAGGGGCCGCTGACCTTGCTCTGTTCTCTGCCCTGCAGGTCACATGGGCTGTGTCTATCTGGGTCCCCTCTAGGACAGCCTCATAGGAAGTCTCAAGGCTCCCTGACAGCAGCTTCTTAAGCCATGCAAAAATTCTTTCTGGAAACAAGGGGATTTATAAGTCAGGGTTTAGTGAACAGAAACCAACCTAGGTCTTTTGAGTAGGGAAGATTTAGTACAGGGAATTGGGTTGGTGAGGGAGCCTGGAAAGGTCAAAGGCAGGAAGTGGTGTCACCAGACCCCAGAGGGTCAAGGTCAGTCAGGGAAAGCTAGACCATGGTAGGACTGCTCTGTGGACACTGGGACCCTGGAGGAGTCAAGCCACTGTCCACGTGCTCCCCCATCCCCGCCCTAGTTATGCCCTGGCTCTCACCTCCTCCCAAACCCAGAACCTCCCACTGGCCGAGCCTAACCAGGGAGCCTGGTTGCACGAGAATTTGTCTCTCCAGGAGCAGTTTGCCAGTCACATCCGAACCCCAGTCTGGACTGATCCGGAGATACTTTTCTTGGTAATTGACAGAGTTCCTGAGCGTCAGCGGATTCTAGGAGCCCAGAGCCTGAAACCACCTGCTTCTCAAATTCATCCAGGGTCACTGTCAAAAGCTAACAAGACTGAAATTACTCCTCACTCAGCTTGGACCATTTGAATTTGCATTCTTCATGTCAGTGTTTTTGAAAATTAATCGATATTTAAAATTTAGATGTAAATATATTTCTTTTTCGCTTTTAATAAGATTAGGACAGTGTCATTAACCACTGGGTGCCGTAATGGCAGGTGTGGAAACAAGCTACCAGGACCCCACCCCCGCCCCCGCCACAAATGTTCTAAAATGAGTTGATTTTAATAATGCAATTCAAAATTAAAAGTTACCAACATCACAGAAGGAGTCCACATGTAACAAGGACTCCAAGGACTTAATTAAATCATTTTAGGGCCCTAAATGGTACAGTAACCTCTGTTTTAGGCATGGACCAAGACCCCACAGAAAGCAAACAATATTGCAGAAAGCCAACACCTAAGAAGTAGCTGCCAGAGACTTCCCTGGCCGTCCAGTGGTTGACTCCGAGCTTCCACTGCAGGAGGCGCGAGTTTGTTCCCTGGTCAGGGAACTAAGATCCCACATGCTGTAGCAGCGGCCACAAAAAAAAAAAAAGAAAGAAAAAAGAAGTAGCTGTCAGTGGGGCTCAGCACAGGGGAGGCCAGGGGGATCCACTGGTATAGGCAGACCACCCACTTCCTGGAGCAGTGTCTCTGCTCCCCTCCTACCTTCTCTTTGCTTTCTGGCTGGTTCATAAAACACACTCCACTTGATTTTGTCTTGGGGGTCCCTCCTGGTGGGAGATAAACAGCCTGTGAGTTCTGGGTCTGCCCAAGGCATCTGCTGTTCAGTAAGCCTTGCCCCCCTTCCCCATGAGCACACAAGCCCACCCAGGAGGACTTTACCCTTTCTTCGACGACACACACCCGCTCTGGGTAAATACTGGGCCACCTGAAAACCTCAAAATGCTGGACGGGGGGCTCTCGGGCGGAGAGAGCTTCAGGTGGCTGCATCTTGGAGCTTCCTGACCCCTTCAGAGGTCACGCCATCTTCCCTTTGTCCCTTTATAGGACTTTTGTGGGCTTGCCCTCTTTCCAACATAGGGACAACTAAAAATCTTCCCTGTCCTCTCTCTAAGAGCCATTGGGTCTGGGACACTGCCCCTCTCTTTCCTTGGGTGCAATAAAGAAATGCTCACGTATTGATGTCTGGGGAAGTCATGCTGGCTTATCCGTGAGTTAACTTGAACTTGATGCTAACTGGAACAGTCTGTTTGTGGCCTTCCGAGCATACACTGTACATCTGCTTTAACCATTAAAGAAAAGGGCACACTGACCAGAAGCAAAGAATGTCCATGTTAAAATAAAGATGAGGGCTTCCCTGGTGGCGCAGTTGTTGTGGGTCCGCCTGCCGATGCGGGGGGCGCGGGTTCGTGCCCCGGTCCGGGAGGATCCCACATGCCGCAGAGCGGCTGGGCCCGTGAGCCGTGGCCGCTGAGCCTGCGCGTCCGGAGCCTGTGCTCCGCGACGGGAGGGGCCGCGGCAGTGGGAAGCCCGCGTACCGCAAAAAAAACCCAAAACAAAACAAAAGGGAAAAATAAAGATGAAATGCGTCCCTTCCTGGGACGCCAATGCTGGTGCTCCTTTGATAATAAGACTTCTTTCTCAAGTGCCAAGGCCATACTGACTCTCTGTGTACGTGCTGATCTGTTTTTTTGAAACCATGAAGGAATGTCTCCCTGACTTCTTTGATGTTCTTTGTTCTGACAAGACATAAAACTGTGCTGAAAACCACGCTTCTCCAGAGCAGTTCCTCGGAGTTATCTGAGAGGCTGTCTTCTGGGCTCTAGTCCTCAGTTTGGCTCAAATAAAACTCTTTTCCATTCCCATTACAGATTGTTTATTGATTATTTTTTCATTGACAGGTGTCACACTCCCCTCTCTTGCCCCTAAAGGTCTCCTCTGGCCTCTAAGATGCTTCTCTTCCTCCTGGCCCCTAGGCTGGCCCCCTCCATCCTGTTTTCAGTGTGCAGAAGCCTTTTTCACCTACTCCTGTTTTGCAAGGGAGGAAATATTGGAGTGAGGGAAGATGAGGTGACGGGGCTTCCCACACTAACGCCCAGACAAGACCGGGCACCCTGGGGACCCCGCTGCATGGCAAGAGGGCCCTTCCCCCACCCTTCCTCCCTGGCTCGTCCCAGGTTCTCCGTTCTCCGTCCAAGGAGCTGGAGGAGCCAGGTGCACTTGGCTGAGGGATTTCGTTCCATAACTGCCGCAGGTGCAGAAGGTGGCAGACAGGGAGGTCATTTCTAGACCACAGATGCCAGTCTCCACCCAGGCCCAGGGGCCCCCTTTCTGATACGGTTTCAGGAGGGTGCCCTCTTAGGAGGGGCCAGGGCTCCTCCCTGGTATCCTCCTCACCCACCCTCTGCGGTCACACCGGCCACCTCGGACAGCTACCTTCCCCTCCGGCCTGGTCTCCTGCCCGCCCGCTCAGTTCTACAGGACTGCATCCTCCTGGGGGCGGCAAAGTCCACTGCCTGCGTGTGCCCCAAGCCCCATGACCTCCTGGACCTCATCATCCTTCCCCACCCCGTGCCATGGCCATACCCTGGACTTTGTCATCTCCCAAGGTAATGAGCCCTGCGTCCACTCTCTGACCACAGCCCCCCCAGTGCCCACCGCATCCCTGCTCTCCCGCCTCCTCCTTGCCTCTGGACCACCTTGGGCCCCGCCCTCTCTCTTGCTCCTTCCCTGTCTCCCACTGCCAGGTCCTGCCTGCCTGACTCCGCCTGTCTGCTTTTCTCACATCTGCACCTGGGCACGGTCTGGAGAAAGTTCCACCACCTTGCAGCCAGGAGCCTCTGTAAATTCGTACCCTCCACACGGCCAGCTCTCCACCTTCCCAGCAGCCCTTCTGGGGGGATATTTGTCATCCATTTACCTGCCCGGGAAGGACCCCTCCTGGAAGGAGCGGGGTAAGGGGCTCTCCAACCGGAAGGAACAGCTTGTGCATTGTTCAGAGTAGGGGGGAAGGAGGGGAACTGGGTAACTTTAAAAAACTAATTAATTAATTTTCGGCTGCATTGGGTCTTGGTTGCTGCATGCGGGCTTCTCATTGCAGTGGCTTCTCGTGTTGCAGAGCACGGGCTCTAGGCGCGTGGGCTCAGTAGTTGCAGCACGCGGGCTCAGTAGTTGTGGCACACAGGTTTCAGTAGTTGTGGCGTGTGGGCTTAGTTGCTCCGCGGCATGTGGGATCTTCCCGGACCAGGGCTCGAACCTGTGTCCCCTGCATTGGCAGGTGGATTCTTAACCACTGCGCCACCAGGGAAGCCCCCTCTACACAATTTTAAATCGGTTTTTGTTGTTGTTGTTATTGAGTTGTATGAATTCCTTTATGTATTTTGGATATTAACCCCTTATTAGATGCATAGTTTGTAAATATTCTCCCACATTCCATAGGTTGCCTTTTTATTTTAATTATTTCTTTTGCAGTGTAGAAATTTTAAGTTTGATGTAGTCCCACTTGTTTTTTCTTTTGTTTTTCATGCTTTTGATGTCGTGTCCGAGAAAACATTACCAAGACCCATGTTGGGGAGCTACTGTGTTTTCTTCTAGGAGTTTTAGGTTATGGGGTCTTATGTGTCTTTGATCCATTTCAAGTTAATTTCTGTGCATACTGTGCGACAGACGTCCCATTTCATTCTGGGCATGTGCTTATCCAGTTTTCCCGACACCATTTGTTGAGGAGACTATCCTGAAACCAATATTTTTAAAAGCTTCCCAGAGTACTTCTAACCAGGCTGACACCCAGAGCTGTGGAGTGTCAGCTAGAGCAAAGCAGAAATTTCATGGGCTCTCACTGCAGCCCCAGACCCAGGGCCCAGTCAGGCAGGGGCAGGAGGCTCTGGTCCCTGCTGCAGGGTGGTGTGTGTGTGTGTGTGTGTGTCGCCCCCCTGCAGTCCGGCAGCCCCCACAATCTCAGCCTCCCAGGGGCCCTGCCAGAGCTCCCACTTACAGGTGCCCAAAGGAAGCTCAGGGTGAGCGGGAGGTGGGCACGGGCTGCCAAGTCCTGTGGTGGGAGCCCTCTCCCCCCCCCCCACCCTCCCACCCCCCCACCCCCGCCCCCGCTATGAGGGCTCTTTGCTGACCTGCAAACACACCAAATGGGTCAGGGATGACAGTGGTAGGGGTAGGGCTGGAGGTGGGGTAGGGATGACAGTGGTAGGGGTAGGGCTGGAGGTGGGGTAGGGATGACAGTGGTAGGGGTAAGGCTGAGGGGAGTTATTATGGGCCTGGCACTTTCCTAAGGCTTTGCATTAACTCAGTAATCCCGAAAGAGCCCTTGGAAGTCGTGCTGAGTATCCCTGATTTACAGGTGAGGAAATGAGGCACAGAGAAGTGGAGTTAATCCCCAAAGTTACAATACCGGGACGTGGCAGAGCTGGGATTCCAACTCGCACGTCGCATTCCTGAGGCCGCGATGGACGCACGGGCGCTCCCCTACACACACACACACACACACACACACACACACACACACACGCACACACACACGCGCTGGGCACGCCCCCAGCGGCGCCAGGCCCTCCCCTCGTGGAGGAGGTGGGCCCCGGGGCGGGGCGAGGCAGGTCCCGGCGCCCGGAGGAAGTAGGGGGCTGCTGCCGGACTAGTCCTCCGGCTGGTCCAGCCATGGAGGCGGAGCCGCCGCTCTATCCGGTGGCGGGGGCCGTGGGTGCGCAGGGCGATGAGGACCAACTCGGGGTCCCAGACGGGCCCGAGGCCCCGGTGAGCGGGGACGGGGAAGGCGTGGCGGCGCGGGGACCGGAAGGGCCAGGGTCTCCCCCGCGGGAGCGGGATGCGGCCCCAGGGCCAGGGGGGGTGCCGGGGGCGGCCGGGGGTGGACGCGGGGCTCCGGGGGTGCAGTGGCCGGGTTCGAGCGCCGTCGTGCCCCGCAGCTGGACGAGCTGGTGGGCGCGTACCCCAACTACAACGAGCAGGAGGAGGAGCGCCGCTACTACCGCCGCAAGCGGCTCGGCGTGCTCAAGAACGTGCTGGCGGCCAGCGCGGGCGGCATGCTCACCTACGGCGTCTACCTGGGTAGGCGGCCCGCTGCGCCCCGCGGGTTGGCGGGATGGGCCTCTGGCCACGCCGTTCCGCCCCGGGCCAGACGAGGTGGCACGGCCTGGCGGGTTCTGCGCTGGGACCCAAGTCTTTCCCCTTCCCCCCGCGCGCCCCTCCCCAGACCTGAGGTTTCTCAGGGAAAGAGAAACCTTGGGGCCAGTCGGCTCCCTTCCTCTTTCACTTCTTCTGCGCCCTCACAGCTGCAGCTGCGGCCTCCGCACATGGGGGGACGGTGCAGTGTCCCCGGGGCCCAGCCACAGGCTTCGTGAGTGTGTGGGCGGGCCCTGGGCGCCCTGGGCAGGTCTGCTGCCTTCGGAATCAGGGGTGCTGAGGTCCAAGTGGCTGGCGGAGAGGGGGGGCGGGGGCGGGGCGGGGGTCTGGATTCAAGTCGCTGTCGTGGCCACTGGCAGGTAGGACTCTTGGCCCAGCCTGGGCTTCCCCTCTGTCCTCATAGGCATTGGAGTCGGGGATCCCTTTGGTGCCAGGCTTGCGTTCCAGCCTCTGCTTGGTTGCCCCCAGAGCCAGGTCGCCCCCTCCATGCCTGCTCCCTGTACCCAGGCCTTCTGCAGATGCAGCTGATCCTGCACTACGATGAGACCTACCGGGAGGTGAAATACGGCAACATGGGGCTGCCTGACATCGACAGCAAGATGCTGATGGGCATCAACGTGACCCCCATCGTGGCCCTGCTCTACACACCTGTGCTCATCAGGTGTGACACTGCTGTCTCTATGAGGGCTGCCTCCCTGATCTTGAAGGGGTGCGAGGGCTGGTGGACATGGAGTCTCCAGCTGTCCTGGTGTTCTTGGGGGTGGGGTGGGGAGAGAACTTACCTACCTGGAGGGGTGAGAGAGAAGGGGTGAAACCCAGGTTTGGGGAAGAAACAAGAGCTTTGCAACCAAGGCACCTTGGGTTTCAAGCAACAGAAATTCACTCAGGCTCCTTCCCTCAGATTGCCCGTACCCCATGTGGCATCATCTTCATGCCCTCCTTTGTGGCCTAGAGCTACAGTGACCTTTTGAGATCAGGGCTGTGGAGTTTCTGGAGAGAATCTGATCAGCCAGCAAAGCCCAGGAATGCACCACGAGCCCAACCAGCTGTGGCAGTGTTGAGGGACATTTCTCACTGAAAAGGGTGTGGCTGGGCAGGCGCCCCAGGGGGTCTCCTCCATACCGGAGCCTTAGTGGCATCTGGTGCAGTACAAAAACGCCCTCCACAAGTATCCTACCGCCAGGCAGTAGATCTGTGCTCAGATGGGACCCAGAGATCAGTGGACACATTAGATGAGTTCCCCTGTCTTTCCGAAACAATAACAACCCCCTCACACTCTTTTATCACAATCGCACAAACATCATTAGAATCGTAATTGAAATCAGAAAAAAGAAAACCCCTCCCAAGCCCTCCAGGCAATCAGCTGACTTTGTTTTCCCAGTGGCATGCATAGATAACGTTTCTGTCCTGGTCAACTGGAGTGCGTGTATGGGCGTGCATGTGTGCACGTGCAGTGTCACTTTTGCTTTCTTTTCACTGCACACCTCTTGGCCTGCTTCACAGTGGGGACTTCCGTGATGTTAGCATCTTCTGCAGACGTGGGGGCACTGAACTGTGGCTCAGGGCTGGACATTGCGGCTCCCTCTTCTTTTTTGCATGTTCCCTTTCTGCTTCTGGCTGTTTCCTCATCTTAAAATTAAAGAGAGAGAGAGAAAGGGAGGGAGGGAGGAAGGAAGGAAGAAGGAAAGAAAGAACGCCTCCTAGAATAAACTCTCAGAACCGCCCTTACTAGGTCAGAAGCATATAAAAGGCTTTCTGGCTCTTGAAACCTAGCAGTATTATTAATGGCAAACTCATTTCGTTTCCTATGTGCTGGGCGTTTTATAAGCGTATCGCATTCCCTACAATCCAAGGTGGACGCTCTGATCTTAGACGCGGGGAGACCAAGAGGTTGAACCCATCCCCACAGGCAGCAACTGGCAGATTGAAGGTCTGAACCCAGGCAGTGACTCCAAACCCCATGCTTGCCCCCCAACCCAAACTACCAGGCTGACTTTCCAAAGGGCTGTACCATCTGCATGACCTCTGGCTGTATGTGTTCTTTTTAAAACCACAGCCTCACCAGCAATGAGTGCTAGTATTTTTACTTTTTGCTGTTTCAAAATTTACGGTGCAGTTTGGGTGCCCTTCCCCAAATAGATCAGAGGAGGCTGCCTGTCAATTTATTATATGGCAGGATAGGGAGAGTTAAAGAACCAGGACCCTGCAATAGAAGAGAAAGTAATTGTATCAGAAAACCAGAGCCATTGAGCTTTGAGCTTCCTGGAAACTCAGACAAAGAAAGGAAATAATGAGCACAAATATTCAAACAAACAGACCCGAAAACAAAACCAACCCAAAGACCGCAATGCTTGTGTCTAGCCTGATCAGCCTCCAGTGCCCTGAATGGGCCCTTATCCTGTCACTCGTCAACCTGCCTCTAACACGGTGCAACATTCTCCCAGAGCCAGTGAGGCCGTTGTTCTACAAGAAACTTCCCGACTGACCACAGTGGACTGAAAGGGCAAAGTGCAGAGGGGAAGGGGCGCCAGGGTTCCTCTCCCTGGTCCTCAGTCCCAGCTTGGGACAAGTCCCTCAGCTGTTCACCTGGGTCCTGTCGTCACTGCACGTGGGTGGAGAAGGGGGGCTGGCAAGTCAGCCCAGGACACAAACGAGGGTTGCATGTGCCCAAGGGCCACTGACTCATGACACCCTCTCCCCGCTTTATCTCCTCTATCCCTGCAGTGGCCGTGAGAGGCTCGAGGTTGGGGCAGAGCCCACATTACAGGTGTCTGGTTAGAGTGGCTCCCCTGAGGCCACCAGCAAGTCCATGTCTCTGAGACTTATCTTAGGACCCTCGACTCCAAGGCCAGGGGTCCCTCCCCACCTCATACAGCCTCAGGAGCTGGGGCCTGGCGTTGTGGCCACGCTGCTTTCGGGCTGCAGCGGTCTGGATGTGCGCGTGGTGGCAGCATCCTCATCCTACTGCTCGCAGGTTTTTTGGCACCAAGTGGATGATGTTCCTGGCTGTGGGCATCTACGCCCTCTTTGTCTCCACCAACTACTGGGAGCGCTACTACACGCTTGTGCCCTCAGCCGTGGCGCTGGGCATGGCCATTGTGCCTCTTTGGGCCTCCATGGGCAACTACATCACCAGGTGAGCCTGGTGGGCAGCAGGGTGGGAGACTGGAGACCTGGCAGAGCCTCTCCTGTGTTGCCCACCTCGTCTTGGGGACCTTGGACTAGCCCCATCCGCCCTCTGGGCCTCAGTTTTCCTGTTCGTGAGACATTGGCTGGCCAGTCCATAAGCCTGGGTGCAGAGGTTGGGCTGGGGACAGCCTTCTCTCCTTTGTGGTCCAGGATGGCCCAGAAATACTACGAGTACTCCCACTACAAAGAGCAGGATGAACAGGGCCCCCAGCAGCGCCCGCCTCGGGGCTCCCACGCACCCTACCTCCTGGTCTTCCAGGCCATCTTCTACAGCTTCTTCCACGTGAGTGCCGTGTGTGGGGACACTGGGGGTGGGGTATTCCAGGCCCAGAATCACATATTGGAGCCCATCCCACAGTCTTTTCAGCCCTCTAATCCCACTGCCCTTTCTTGAGCCAACTCCTGTTTGCTTACCTCTGGTGACAGAGACCTCATTCCCTCCCTGTCTACAGCGCTGACCAGGAGGAAGTCTTCCTGCACTGGGCATCCCCCCCCTACCAGGCTGCCTCCCGAGAGGTGGGAGGGCTCCTGTTCCCCCAAGGCTGTGCCCAGACCCGCTCCCAGATTGTGCCTGTGCTCCTTGCCCGGTTCCATGCCCCAAGCCTGACCCAGGCTGCCCTCCTGCCCACAGCTGAGCTTTGCCTGTGCCCAGCTGCCCATGATCTACTTCCTGAACCATTACTTGTATGACCTGAACCACACGCTATACAAAGTGCAGAACTGCGGTTAGTGCTCATGGGGGTGGGGTCCCTAAGGTCTGCTCACCTCCCCCACTGAGTCACCCAGCAGACACTGGGCCCTCAAGGGCAGAAAGGATGCCCTCGCTCACAGGGCTCAGGGCTGAGAGCCTGGTGTCCTACAGCTCTGATGACCGAGGCACAGGGCCTTGTCGTTAGGACATCTGATCCAGCCTGGGGTGGTGGTGGGGTGCATCAGGGAAGGCTGCCTGGAGGAGGTGCCATCTGGGCTGAGGCTGCCTGTGGGGTCTCTCAGGGCCAAGTATACCCTCAATGCAGGGCAAATGTATGGAGGTGGGAGGTGGACTGGCTCCCACGGCAGCCTCAGGGCAATAGGGCAGGAGGGAGGGGAGGTGCTTTCAGCCCCAGTGGCCCTCACCTCCAAAGTGCTTCCCAAAGGAACCCTGCCTTTGCCGGCAGGGTCCTTGCCCACCCCCTCTAACCCTCCCCTCACCTGCCTGCTTTGCTGCGTTTCTTTGTGGCCCAGCTGACAGTGTGCCCTGCTCCCTGCCTCACGATGCCCCCCACCCTCCCCTTTCTCAGGCACAAACAGCCAGGGCATCCTCACCGGCTTCAACAAGACGGTTCTGCGGACGCTACCGCGGAGCCGAAACCTCATCGTGGTGGAGAGCGTGCTCATGGCGGTGGCCTTCCTGGCCATGCTGCTGGTGCGGCCCGGGTTGGGGGTGTGACGGGGTCAGATCTGGGGACCGTGGCGGGGAGAGAGGAATGCGGGCTGGGCGCGCGGAGGGCGGGCCGGAGGCTTGTTCTGAGTCCAGAGTTAGGGCTGAGTCCTGGGGAGGGGCCCTGAGCCGAGGAGCTGGGCTGGGGGCTCGGAGGTGTGGCTGGTGCCTGCGGACTGAGAGAGGAATTGGAATCCCAGAGGCCAGTAAGAGGGGGTCCAGGCCTGGTCCGGGGTCGAGCTGAAGACAGGGTCCTAGAGGATTGGCTGTGACACCGGCTGGATCTAGGGCCGAGGGTCAGAAGGTATGGCTCCAACCTGGGGGTGGGACCAGGAGGCAGAGCTAAGGCGTTGGGGGCGTGACTAGGTCGTGTCTTCGGGCTGGAGGCAGGGCTCGGAGGCTCATTTGTTGATTTGCCTGGGGGCGGGGCTGGGTCCCGGGGGCGGGGCCAGGATGCCCGGCTGCCCGCCCCCCTCCCGCACCTTCTTGCCTGCAGGTGCTGGGCCTTTGCGGCGCGG